CGTCCGAAGCCTCGATGTAACTGGTCGTAAATCCCTCGCGGCGGATCCATGCCATTTGCGAGTAGTGACTTTGCTAGTGTTGGAACGCGCTTGCCTATTACTGCTTGGGGCATGATGGGCATTATAGCCCCCGCCCCCCCCCCCCCCCCTCCCCCCTACAGCGAAACGCCCCTCCCCCCCAAAAAAAGCACTCCGGGCACTGCCGCCCTGCGCACGCACGGCGGGGGGGAGGCGTTACATCATCCCCCCCCCCCCTGGCCCCTCCCCCCCTGTAATGCCCAGCATCGCCGAAAGTAAAGAAACGCGCTCATGATTGCCCAATCGTGTGCCTAATCATGCAGTTTCCACGATGTGGCCACGCCTACTTCACCAACGTTGTACATGTCCTTGAAGGTATACGAAACTACACGTAGCACCCCGCAGCTGCGGCGGATGAGAGTGAGGAGGTGGCGGGGACGTCGGCAGTCTGCGAGGCTCTGAAGAAACCCGCAGGAGGCGTCGATTCTTTTGCGAAAGGAATGTGGGCGGGACGCGGGCGGGTCGCGGGCGGGTCGCGGGGTCGGTCGCGGGTGGGTCGCCGGTGGGTCGCGGGTGGTTCGCGTGGTGGCTCGCGTGTGGGTCGCGTGTGGGTCGCGGTTGAATCGCGGGAGGGTCGTGGGAGGTTTGAGGGTGGGTCGCGGGCCGTATCACGTTTGGGACGACGACAAGGAACAACACACAACAAACAATATGTTTTACAACGGAACAACAACAAAAATTACCCCAGTGCGACCCTACCTAGAAGTTGGAGCCCCTAGGAAAGCAGCATTAGTTGCTATGCTATGCTCTGCCATGCTATACTGCGCTATGCTATGCTATGCTATGCTATGCTATGCTGCGCTATGCTATGCTATGCTATGATATGCTAAGCTCAGCCATGCTATGTCATGATACCCTGTGCTATGCTAAGCTATGCGATGTTATGCTATGCTAAGCTGCGCTATGTTATGCTACGCCATGCTATGCTATGCTGCTCTATGCCATGCTATGCTATGCTTGGCTATGCTATGCTATGCACTGCTATGCTACTTTTAATGCAGCGCTGCGCTATGTCCAGCTATGCTAAGCTAAGCTAATCCTCTAGGCAGAGCCTTGGTAGGGAATTACACCCATGCTAATGCTTTTTGCTGTGCTGTCGCTGTTGTTGCTTTGCCTTTCCTTTGCTGCTATACTCTGCTATGCTCTTCTCTACTATGTTATGCTATGCTGCGCTGTGCTATGCTGTGGTGTGCTGTGCTGCGCTATGCTATGCTCTGCTATGCTATGCTATGCTGCGCTATGCTATGCGATGCTGGGCTATGCTATGATATGCGATGCTGCGCTATGCTATGCTACGCTATGCTATGCCATGCTGTGCCCTGCTATGCTTAAGCTGAGCGAAGCCAATATGAAGGTAAGCTAGCTAAGATAAACCTAATCTAAGATGAAGCTAAGCTAAGCTCAAGTGAAATAAGCTAAGCTAAGATGAGATAAGCAACGCTAAGCTGAGGGGACGTAACTGGGGGAACCGCGGGGCGGATACTGGGGGAACCGCCCGGGGCGTGGAAGACTGCCCGGCCCTTTAAGCATACCGAGTAAGAACCCTTCTCGGCAGAGCCTAGGTAGGGAATATCAACAACAGCAACAACACTCCGCACCGCGGAACCTCATTTTAGTCACCCGCCCAGTGACAATGAATGACCGTTTGGCCCCTCACTTTGACTACTACTGTTTGTTATATGCTATGGTGTTCACTGTAGCTGACAGGGTTTCGTTGTTCCCCCCACCCGCGCCCTTGAAATTCGTCCATTGCAACAGTTCCATCTGGGACCGTCTGCACACGGGGCGTTCCAGAAAAGGCTCGCTGAGGGAACGGCCGCCTGAGCCACCTCAGCTCTGCGGAGGAAATGCAGCAATGGAGGGAAGCGAAGCTTAGGCAGTTTGAGCGCTGGAACATGGATACAAGAAAACGAAGACTTGCTCACTTGCTGCGAATAATTATTTTTCAGAGCGTTTCGGAGCGCTCCCAGAGCGTTCTGGAACGCTTTTGAACGGCGCAGGCGCCCTATATCCTGATACATGCAACAGACTTGCTGGTTCTTAGAAGTCCTTGGCTCGCCCCGATCCACAAGCAGCGGCCGCGTCCACATGCGTGCCCATGCGAGAGGTCTGGATGCCGAGGCGCGACCCCATGGACATTAGATCCCGTGGGTGCCCTCTGCGCGGGGCAGCCTCGCAACGCCCCCCTATGTCCACGGTCTCGCTACCGAAGTGTCCAGGGTGTGAGGCCGTGGATGCGGATGTATCTCCTGAGGACAGCCTCAACACTGCGGCGTATTTTTGTTCCCGCCGCGCGCTTTGCTCCTGCGGCGCGCTATCGCGCGCACGAGGGCCACGCCACAAGCTCGAGATCACGTCCACTTGGACTTCGCGATGTTGCGCGCGACCGCTCCATCTTACCGCCCTGCCCTCCTCCTCCTCCTCCTCCTCCTCCTCCTCCTCCTCCTCCTCCTCTTCCTCCCCCTCCTCCTCGTCCTCTCCCTCTCCCTTCCTCCTCCCTGCTGTTGTCTCCCTCTTCCCTTCTTCCTTGGTTCGGCGCTTGCACGAGGAGCACCAATCCCTGCTCACTCCTACCCCACCCTCCCTTACCCGTCCGTTCCCTCCCAGCCCTTGCTCGCTCTCTCGTGCATCCATCCTGCCTCTCTTGGCGCCTCCTTCCCGTTTTTCCTTCTCCGTGCGGCCTTCGCCTCGTGTTTCCCCCTCCTCCTCTTCCTCCTCCTCTTCCTCGTCCTCCTCCTCTCTCTCTTTTTCATTACCGTTATCAGTATTGTGAAGGCCTTGATGCCAGTGACGCCGATCCAGAAGGACGACGACGACCACAACGACCACGACGACTACCACAAAGACATCGACGAGCTGATGACCCTGCCACAGGCTCGGGGCGTGGGGAGGGAGGGAGGGAGAGAGGCTCAAGTCGCCGCAGCCATTGCCCAGCCGGGCCCCGCCCGCCTTGCTCACTCAACCTCACCCTCCGCGCCTTGCTCCCCCCCTCACCGCGCAACATCGCCTGGGGCGGCCGCGCTGCCAAGCGGCGGCAGCCTCGCTGGGGGCTGCTGCAAACCATTCTGATACACCGCAGGGGGGCCTGCGCCCCCCATCATGGCCGAGGATCCGGGGCGCGGTCGGCTGCCCGGAGGCGACGGCCAAACGGCGGGCGGGGCGGAGCCGCAGCCGCTGCGCTGAGGCAGGTCCGCGCTGGCAATGCAGCGTGCAGACTGCGCATGTGCAGGCACGCTGGCAGGCATGTCGCTTCACCTTCGAGCCAGGCGATGTCCGTATCTGCAGCGCGCGTGCCCGGGCGCATCCCCGATACTGCCACGCCGGCTGCGTGTGCACACCGCTGGGGAGGCCAGAGAACATCGAGGGGTCCTGGACCTGACCGCAGAGCAGCAGCAGAAGGTGAGGCCGTCCCTCCTGCTGCCCTCCGACCCCGTCTTTCCTCCTGCGCCGGCAGGCCAAGTTCCCCCGCCCGCCCATGCGGCTCGGGCTGGTCACGGCCCGGGAACGGCGCCCATGGGCGGGGGGGCCATTGAGGATGACATCGGAGAACGCCAGGAGCCTGACGGGCCCCTGAGCCCGCGCAACCTGGAGTGCGGTCTGGGAGCCGACAGCCTCGGCTGCCTGTGCGCATCCACCGACGCCCTTCTTCCCAACCAGGCGGCCACCCTCCAGGAAGCGCCGGGTACGCTGAAGGTCGCCATCGGGGAGGCCCGGGGGGCTGCTGCGCAGGCCGTGATGGACCCCATCAGCGACGTGGTCGAGTTGGGGGCGTGGCGCTGCTTCCTGGCCTTTGACCACATGATCTCGGGAGAGCTGTTTGAGAAAGGCGAGGTGCAACACCACGCTGTGGCCGAGAGGGTCGCGCCCTGCCTCCAGGACTCTTGGGCGGGCCGGTGGGAAGCGCTGATTCGGGACACACATTTGTCTCGGTCAATGCCGCGGCGGGCCCCGCGAGCAAAGGCGCGACTGTCCGCGGGGTCTGGCGCTTGGCGCTGGAAGGCGAGATGTTTTTTAAGGTTGCCTCGGAGTGGGGGCCGTCCAGGTGGGCGCCCGCGGAAGACGCGTTGCGGGCTTGCGCGCAGTAGCAACACCCCTTGGAGGTAGCTTTGCGGTGCGGCCCTGAGGGTGGCCCAGACCTCGCGGCCGCCACGCTGCCCCGGGACGACGTCCAAGCGGACGCGTCCAACAAGTGGACGAAGACGTCCCGGGGCTCCGGGGCAGGACTGCAGGGCGACAGGTACGAACATTGGCGCCCCCTTTGCGCACGCAGAGTCGCAGGGGGCGGCCACTGCTCTGGTGCTCTCCCGCCTACCACAGGAGTCTTTGGATTTGGCGCTCGCGGGCAGATTGGGGCTGGGCCAAGAAAGACTGAGGCACCAGGTGGCACCAGGGTGCTGGCAAGCGGAGCCATGGCCCGCCGCATGGTGGCCAGGGCCGCCTTCGCGCTCCGATCTGGTAGCCGTCTCCGACGAGCTGCAGTGCGGCATTGGGGTCCGCGCCGGGCTGGAGATGCTGCGCAAGAGCGTCTGAGGAGAGGCGGAGCAATCTCCAGACATGGCCTTCGTCTCGCTGGATCTCAAGGGCGCCTTCACCCGTAACCGCCAGGGTCGGCAGCGGCGCCCTGAATTCGAATGCTCGGTGGCGCAGTGGCACGGCCGGGCCACGGACCACGCGGCCGCCGGCGCGGGCGGGGCCATCTCGCAAATCCGAACATCAGGAGGGCCTCGACCTGGGGCGCCCGCTCAGCCCGGCGCTTTTCAGCGTCGGCATCGGCTCCAGCTCTGCTGTTTCCAGGACTACTTGCAGACTCCTGGACCCGCGCTGCAAGGCGTGGGTTTACCTCGATGACGCTTAGTTCACTGTGCCGAAGGCTCTGCTGCTTCAGGCCTTGGCGATGGCCACGACGCTCTTCTGTCATATTGGGCTAGAACTCTGGGGTTTTAGGCGACGCGCTGGGGGGCCTGGAGGCGGCTGGCCCGGAGAAGCAGCGCTGGTTCACGCTGCCCCGCACCTGCGTCAACGGTCCCGTATTTTACGCGCTTGCAGCGAGCCAGACTGGCATGGCCGATGGCGCTCCTTCGACGACGAGGTGGTCGTGCAGATCGAGCGCTTGGCGGGGCCTGGACTCACTGCGAACGGTCGGGAGGCTCTTCCTTCTCGCGAAGCAGGGGGCGCTGTCTTCGGGCCTGCCAAACACCGCGCCGGCGCGGCGCGGCTGGGCTCGCGGCGCGCCGGCCCGGCCGCCGCGAGAGCGGGGCAGGCGGCGCCCAGCCTGGCCAGGGCGGAGGAGGCCACGCCTAGCTTCCAGACGCGGTGTCCGAGGCCAAGGCGAGACTCCGCGCAGAACGTTGCCTGGGTGTCTTGGGACTGCCAGTGCGCGGTCAAGCAGAAAAACTTATTCCCGCCGGGTGGTGGACCGCCGGCACCGCCGGCCCCTCGACCGCTTCTCCGAGCCTGAAGCGGGGCCCTACCCAGTCCCGCGGCGGGGCGGGCGCCGCGACGCTCGAACCGCCTGCGCGGGCGCGGCGCCTGCTCGGCAACGACGCGTTCGCCGTGACTGCGCCGGCGGCTGCTCTGCGAGGGCCGCCCAGCTGGCACTGGCGGCAGACCTTGCTGCGACACTGCCCGCGGCATTGCGGTTCAGCGCGGGACCTCGACGCACGATCTGCTCGCCGAGCGCGCCCATGTGCCCCGCGGGGCTTGGGTTCGCGCGCCGCCGCCACGGCGCGCGAGACGCGCTGGGCGAGCGGTTCTCCGAGCGTCACGGAGCCGCTGCGGCCAGAACACAGTGCGCCCCTACCTCGGACCAGCGCACGGACGCGGGCTTCCAACGCGCCGTCCTCGACGCGGTGCTGGCGCGCCGCATCGCTGAAGCCCTGGCGCCCGCGGGCCCTCAAAGCCTCCGGCGAGCCGCGACGGCCGGCATCGCGGAGCGAGAGCGGGGGCGGGAGAAGCACGCCCGCTACTCTGGCCCTGGTCTCTGCGCCGCCGTTGTCGAGGCCGGCGGCCGCATGGGCGCGGAAGGGTTTCTTGCGCGCCCGCGCGCCAGGCGCAGACCGCGCGGCCGCGCTGGCCGACGCGCGGCAGCGCTTGGTCGTTGCCGCGCTGGCGGGCCGCTGGGCAACCCGGCCAAGGCCCCGGGCGTCGCGGGGGCGCAAGGCGGGCTGCTGGGGCGCCAGCTGCGGCGGCACTGGGGGCGCGGGCGGCCGCCGCGGCGCGCCGCGCAAGGCGCTGGCCGTGGCGCTGGGCGGGTGCCGGGCGCTCGCGGCTGCCAGCGCCGCCGGGGGGGGCGGCGGGCGGCGGCGCGCGCGCGGCCCTCGGAGGCGAAAGCGGCAGCCCGCGCGGAGGCGTTTGGCAGCTGGGCCGCAGTCGCTTGGCGGTGGGGCCGCAGGGCCCAGGCCGCAGGCCAGCGTTGGCCGGCGCACCCTTCCTCCTCGGGGGCGGCTCGCCGCGCGGCGGGGGCTTGCGCCAGCTCCCGACTACGGCGCTCCGGCCGCGGGGGAGACCCGCGCCCGCGCCCGATGGAGGGGGGGGAGGGGGGGAGGGGGGGACGGAGGGAGAGGAGGGGGAGGAAGAGGAGGAGGAAGAGGAAAAGGAGGAAGAGGAGGAGGAGGAGGAGGAGGAGGAGGAGGAGGAGGAGGAGGAGGAAGAGGAGGAGGAGGAGGAGGAGGGGGGAGAGCCGTGTGTCTCCTCGTGGGCGGGCGTCTGGGAGGCGATAGGGGCCGGGGGCGGGGCCCCGATCGGCCCCAGGGCCGGGGCCGGGGCCCCCTGCTGCTGTAAACCTTTAAAGCGAATGTGCGCGGCGCTAATATGCGAACTTTGTGGAAGAAAGGGTGCTGCGTTAGGGCGAGAACCGCATTTGAACACGTCCCCTATCCTATCCATCCGTGAAGCTACCGCGAACTTTGTACGACATTGCGCGGCGCCACGGCGGGAACCACAGTTTCCACATCGCCACCTTGGGGGAGGATCCGCTCGCGCACGACCCCGCTCCCAACGGTTGGACGTATCAGACATATGCGCCGCGCCCAGCTGGGAGCGCCACTTTCAGGCGAAGCCTGCGCGCTCGGGCGAGAGCTACGTGTTGTCTGCTTTCGCGCGACCCCGTTGTCGAAGAATTGGCGAGCGAAAGATATAGGCCGCGCCAGAAGGATCTTAACACTCATGAGAAAATGGGCGCGGCGCCCAGGCGAGATCAACATTGTGCTATTTCGGGCGCGATATTCGCCCCGTCACCATATCTACCGCGCATCTTGCAACGTCGACACCAACACGTCAGTGTTGTGTCCTGAAGCGTCGAATTCGTACTGGTCCTTGATGTGTAGGGTGGACGGTCCCGAACGTGGGGGGCTATCAGCCAGCTAGATCGCAGAGTGAGTGTATAATGTAGTAAGTGATAAGGGCTGGCAGAATGGAGGTGGG